CTTGACAGAAATCCCTGGCTGGCCTTTACTCACCCCCCTGAAGGTGCAGATGCAGAAGTGTGACAAGTGTTTGCGAGAATTTTGTTCACCCATTAACTATAGAAGGCATATACGTGTGCACCATAGGTTGAAAAAACTGGATAAGGTTTTCTCACTGTCTTTGAAACAAGATTAGTCTATTATGTTGATACTGCTTGGGATTTTCTCCTGCAATTTCATTTTTCTTCTGATGCTTCTTTAAGATTCTAGCCTCTTGGAAATTTGAGATTTACCTTAGTTACTTTTGATGTCTTTTTTCCTTTTTATATCTCTTAGGACTCCACTAAACAATGTTGTTTTGGCATTGTAGGATTCTGCCAAAAATAGGGACCTACTAGCGGCATTTTGGGACAAGGTACTTTTTTCTTCACCCTTCCCTCTCCTGCATATTCATTTTTGGTTATCCACTTTCTCATTTATATCATTTACAGCTGTCAGAGGATGAGGCAAAGGAAGTTATATCATTCAAGGATGTGGCATTGGAGGTAATTGTTTAATTTTTTTTCTCCTGCTTAATCCTCGGTACATCATTTATTAATATTCAAGCGACATCCAGATCTGGTTTACATTTTGTATTTGTTTCTTTTACAACATTACCTTGTCGCCAAAGGATTATTTCTTGCTAGGATATACATGCACGTGTTGCATAATTATTGGTTTTCTTTGTTCTTGTCTCCTAAACAATTTCTCCCTTGCTAACTATACCTTCTAGGAAGTTCCAGGACCATCGGTCATAAAATCATTGACAACACTTGTAAAGAAATCAAAGCTTGCTGTGCCACAAGTTTGCTTGAGGGCAGGTTCTGCACTTCTGGTAAGGAATGTATTGTGTTATGGGTCTGAAAGGATGCTAATGCATTCTAATCCTATGGAAGTAATATGTCCTAAATCTTTGCAGGACCTTGTCCAAGCTAGACCTCCAAGGTTTCCAATATCTTCCCAAGAATTATTTAGTATCCTTGATGATGCAAGTGAAAGGACTTTCCTTTGTGGTGCAGCAATGTCGATGCAAAAATATATTTTTGATGGGGAAGCAGGAAAGATTGGAGTTGAAACCAAAAACCTGGTTGCTTGTACCAGCTTCTTGGTAGAACAAAAATTGGTACTTTTTTCATTTTTCTGTTCTTCAAGATTGATTTACTCTAAGTTTTCATGCACACACTTGTGAATAATTTGGTTGGCAAGTATAATGCTATCCCTATCCATTGTGACAAACAGTATGATAGAATGATAGTTGTGCTCACGAATCTGTCTACTTTTTAAAATTCTCTTCATCGTTTCAAAATTCAAATTAAATTAATATTTGTTTTCTATTCAGGTTAAGGCATGGCTTGCAGATAAAGATGCTGAAGCTTTGAGGTGCCAGAAGTTGCTAGTGGAAGAGGAAGAAGCTGCCCAGAAGAGGTGCATATTACTTACTTTCCTTGTTGAACAAAGTAATTTTTGTCATATTCGACACGTTTGACCGTTTGCAAATCTTCTCCTTCCCCCTTTCTCTAAAAATGTTCCTCTTAGCATGACAGAAGTGATTCTCTTTTAATTGTCTGAGTAATGCCTGGGAGGACAACAATCAGAGAAGTATTTTGAGTAATTTCTTCTTCTGTAAGTTAGTAAACCCCAACATGTGATATAATTACTAATTTTTTTCCTGAAAGATGTGATGCAGACAACCTTTCACCTCAACTGATATAAAGAGAAAAGGGAAGAAGATACTGGTGTAAAAGTAATTTTGCATTTCTTGATAGGAAATGAGTAATTATAATTTGAAGGTGTATGGAAAACTAAAATTGCTAAAACCATTCATCTATGTCAACAATCAACATTATTAGAGAACATGCATTGAAAAGGCAAACTGTTAGTATTTGTCTTATAAGTCCAAGTCTACTAAAGTTCAGTCTTGGGCTTTTTAGTTCCTAGATACGATCTAATCATGTGATAGATTTGGAAGTGGTACCACGTAGGTCCTAACACCCAAGTTTAGTGTTATTGATCAAAGACATAATTCTTTAGAAATAGTTCATCTTATAAAAAGCAGAATGGAAGAACCTTTGATTAGCTGATTATTTTCATGATTCTTCACTAGGCAAGTTGAGCTTCTTGAGAGAAAAAGACAGAAGAAACTTAGGCTGAAGGAGCAGAAAGCAAAGGAACAAAAAGCCTGGGATATGGAAGAAGGTAAGAAGAACATGGACAATTCATTGGAGGTTAATACTTGGGGTGAAACATCCAGCTGTTCAGCTGTTTTTGACATGGATGGACAAAACACAGTCATATCAACAGATCAAGTTCTTCCATTCCTAGAGCCCATTCCTTTGCCCAACCCTGAGGAGGGTGTAGATTACAGAACTCAGATGGGGTTTAGCAACAGATATTGTGATCCAGGGACTAGTCAGAATGTCGAAAGACAAGTGGAGCAAGTGGATGGATGTCCACGTACAATTGTTTCTCAATGGCAGACTTCACTGAAATCACAGCGTGTGGTGCTTAATGGCTTCCATGCTATACATAATTCTCATGGATTTAAGTTTGAAGCCATGAATAAACATGGATCAAAGAGGGAAAGGACTGCTGCAATGGGTAATAGTAATAAAATGTGGAGCCGAAAACCTAAAGCAATTAGCGATGGGGAGAATTTGAAAATTAGAGCAGAGAAACAACCTGCAAATCAACTAGATCAGAATAAGAGCCCAGAGCTTATAATCGGCTCTATATCTGTCCCACTTGGAAAAAATCTAGCTGAAGCCCATGACAGGTACCCTGTTGAGTGTCAAACACCAAAGAGGAACAATGTTCAGGAGAGGTTCAGCAAATACGATCATGTTCAGGGTGTTACAAACCGATCAACCATTAAGTTTTGGAGGCCTGTGAGTCGACAAGAAAGAAAAAATTCACTGTCAGTCCAAAATGGTATTAGAGAATTTGAGGTGGAAGTGACTGCTGAAAATTCATTCCTGATCTCATCCTCCAGTGAAAGCTGTCTAAAGCCATCTGCAGTAGATGGTAGTGATGATATACTAAGAATGAATCTTACTTCAACACTGGAGGAAAGCGTGCAACAGAGAATTTTGCAGTTTGACAGCAATGCTGCCAAGACCTTTCTTGCTGGGAGTAAGTTGGGATGTTCAATATATATATATTTATTGATATGAGTCCATTTATACTGATTGTCTCTGATAAACTTCTGATTGGCATTATAGGATGGAAGAATGCTATTGCAGGCGAACATGTAACATTGGTTCTCTCCTCGAACCTTGAGCCTCCAGGGTGCTCAGAGGTTGAAGTCGATTCATCAGAGAAGTGTATGGTTAAGGCAGAGGCTTGTGAGGCTTCTACCGTTGGGGCTGCCATAGGTAAGTACAGAACGAAGCTTGAAAAGGGTGCAAAAACAAAGTACATTCCGAAACAAAGATCTGCAACCTAGGAGGGGCGATGGGAATGTTTATTGTCGAGATATGAACATAGTAGCAGGTCATCAATATATATATATATATATATATATATATTGCTGAGGCTCCAGTTTTACCAACGGTCTTCTGTCGGAGAATTGAGGGAAAGTAACAGGTTTTGCCTGTAAATGGTTTATGATTCCGTCTTGGTTTCTTAGGGTGATAGAGTAGTTGCAGTTTGTTTTGCTATTTCTTTTTCTTATTTGGTTTAATTGTAATAAATTGGGGTCCATGCTATTGGAAAGGTCTTTTTTGGGGGTGGAAGTTGTTTTCCTTCTACATTGATTGTTCCTGCAAAGCAAAAGCTAAGAGGAGTGGGGTAACCTGAGCCTTTTAACATTTGGGTTCTTGCATTTTGCCAATGCAAAACCAAACTTGCCCCTGAAATTATCTAATAATGCTTTGTTTTCCCCATTAATTATTATTAACATCGTTATTTTGTTAAAAATAATTGGGTAAATTTTATGTTTACGCCCCCAATTATCACTTTTGTTTCATTTTGGTCTTCAAACTATTATTTTTTAAAAATTATATCAAAAGTTATGTTTTAATTTTATTTTTGTCACTCGTTAAAAAAGTATTAGAATTATTGATGTGATATTTTAAAAGCAATCGATGATGATGTGACATTATTTTATGGTGATATATCAATATTAATGTTAATTTTTAAGGTGGGTGGTCAAAATAAAATTAAAATATAATTAGGTATAATTTTGTAATAAAAAATAATTGAGTGTCAAAATGAAATAAAAGTGATAATTGGTAAAAAATTTAAGAAAACCCCGTGCTAACAAAATATATTTGATATAAAATGGGATAAACTATACGTTTAACACTTAAACTATCAATTTTGTTTTAATATTTAAATTTTTATTTGTTTCAAAATTATATTTAATGTTTATTTTTTATTTTATTTTAATACTCGTCGTTAAAAACTTAATGTATTGTTGCACGTGACATTTTTTATGAGTAAATTACATCATTATCATTTATTTCACTCTTATATTAGTCATTAAAGTTTTAAAGAATTTCAATTTAACTACTCAACTTTTAAATTACTTATGTTTTAATCACTCTAATTTATTTTATTAATAATTTTTGTGACATAATATTTTATTTTATTTTATTAATATATAATTAAAATAAAAAAAATTAAATTAAAAAATTAGAGTGATTAAATTAGAAATAATTTAAAAATTAAGTAATTAAATTAAAAAATTAAATTTCAATGACCATAATAGAAGTGAGAAATTAGTTGAGTTATGAATGATATATATTACTTGTCATGTTGTGACGTTCTGTTAAATTTTGAATGACGTGATATCAAAATTAAATAAAAAAGTAAACATTAATTATAATTTTAAAATAAATGAAAGTTTAAATAATAAAATGAAGTAAAACTAATAGTTTATTAAACGTATAATAGCTTATCCTATAAAAAGTTTTACATTTGTCTATCTAACTATACTTTATTATATTTGATATTATAAAAAACACATTTTATACTATGTAACTTGAAAGTGTTTAAATAGGATAACTGAACCATTTAACCTGTTCCGAACAAACAAGAAAGAGTTGGGAATTGTTCTGCAAATGTGGTTGTTTAATAGGAAAGGACCATCTGGTTTCTCAGCGTCTTCTACAGCTGAAGAAGTTACTCAAGGAATTGATGGCTCTGCCCTCACCGCCATAGTCACAGGTTTTTACTTTTCATTTCATCTCACCCAACAAAACAACACAAGTTGGAATAATATGGATTTAATACTTTTTTTTATGCATTCTGGGTGTTGATGAACATCACACAAATTTAGGGTTATGAAAATTTTCGTAAAAAATCAACACTTTTAAATAATATTTTCTGTGGAGTCAAGTTCAGAGGGTGAAAACAGTTCAACTTTTAACCTATGTTTTTGGATATATTTCACTGAGCTTCTTTAGGTTCACCGACACAAAATGGCCATAGTAATAGTATACAGTGAAATAAGGATAAAACTCTGACGAAAAAGGAGAAGACCAGGGATTTAATTTGCGGTTGTGATCGTGTTTTCAGTTGGGTTTTGTGTATCGCTATTGCCGACATAGCGGGTGCTATTGTGGTGATTGCAGGTTTTGCAGTATAGCGGTCACTATTGAAGTAGCGGACCGCTATTTAAATCCCTAGAGAAGATAGATAAAATTGGGAAACTTTCTCATCTAGAAGTTTATTTTTAGGGGCATCAAGCGGAATTGGCACTGAAACAGCACGAGTTCTTTCACTGCGTGGTGTCCATGTAGTTATGGGGGTCAAGAACATGAGCGCTGGTAGGGAAGTTAAAGAAACTATAGCTAAGAGAAACCCCGATGCGAAAATTGATGCAATGGAATTAGATTTGAGTTCAACGGCATCAGTGAGGAAATTTGCTGCAGATTTCATATCCTCTGGTCTTCCGCTCAACATCCTCGTGTAAGTGTAAATGGATAAATGGATTACAATGCATATGCCTAATGTTTGCTATATTTGAGAAATATGATTTGGTTTTAAGAGGAATATTTGTGCTTTTTGAAGTAACAATGCAGGAATCATGGCTACACCATTCATGATTTCCAAAGATGGCATAGAACTACAATTCGCAACGAACCACGTTGGTAAGGTTTTGTCAAAAGAGGCCTATAGTTATGGTTGGATGTCAACTTGATTGTTTGAATTTAGAAAGTTTTACAAAGATTGGTTTGAAGTGCAACCAAGAGATAAGGAAAGGAATGAGGAGAAACTTTTTTCCTTGGTAGGACACTTCCTCCTAACAAATCTACTGCTGGAAACCATGAAGAAGACAGCACTTGGAAGTAAGACAGAAGGAAGAATTGTAAATGTATCATCCCGTCGTCACAAATTCTCATATCGAGAAGGGATTCGATTCGACAAAATCAATGATCGATCAGGGTAATACTGTTTACGCATTCAGTACACGAATCATGTAGTGGAAGCTTTTATGTTTTTGTCCTGATTACTTCTTTATTTGTGAACTTCACAATGTACACAGGGACAACAGCTTATCTGATTATGGTCAGTCAAAGCTTGCTAATGTCTTGCATGCTAACGAACGTGCTACACGTTTAAAGGTCACTTCCATGTTCGATGATGCTTATAATATCAGTAACACTACTTTTAACATATTTTGAGATCTTTATGTTCTTCTCTGCTAAAATGGTTTGGCTTTGTTTTATGGAACATTTGTTCATTTTTACATCCTTAAGCTTTCTTAATCACTTGTAGACCAAATTGGGATACATTGTGCTTACCAATGGAATTTGGTGATTGAATTCAATCTGTTTAAGTAGTGTTATTTCATCAGCCACCTAGGACTTCTGTTCTCACACATGAATGAATTAGTCAATGCATGCACAAGAATGTCAACTATGAAACTGATTGATCATGTACAGATAGTCATGGCAAACCATAACATGCTGCTATATTTTGATGGTTTATGTTCCTTTTCTCACACATGAATGAATTAGTCCATGCATGCACAAGAATGTCAACTACGAAACTGATTGATCATGTACAGATAGTCATGGAAGCCTGCTATATTCTGATGGTGTATGTTCCTTTTCTCACACATGAATGAATAAGTCCATGCATGCACAAGAATATCAACTATTAAACTGATTGACCATGTACAGATAGTCACGGCAAACCATAACATGCTGCTATATTTTGATGGTGTATGTTCCCTAAACAGGAAGATGAAGTGGCCATAACTGCAAATTCTCTTCACCCGGGAGCCATTGCGACTAACCTCTTTCGACATAACAGCCTTATCAGGGGTATTGAATCCCTCTGTTTTTGAATACAATTTTACATACTAAAAACAATCTGGTGAAGTCATCATCCCTTTATGCTCAAAGCTCCTGCCAATCATAATTATAGTTCACTGCATTTTGTTTCACTTGAACCAAAGAAAAGGAGATGATTATCCTTTATTTTCCCTTGGTTGTGATGCAGGTCTTGTTGGTGTTCTTGGTAAATATATCGTCAAAAATGTGGAGCAGGTGTGTAGAAACTTAAAACTCTATGTTTGGTATAATTGAATGCTGCTTGTATTGGGTTCAGGGATGGATCGAGGGGCTGACGGGATGGTCACATCTTGAAAACTTTCAAATTCTCTTATAGTTTAAGCATTTTTTAATTTTTTTTATTGATAATTTATTTTCACCCTCTAAAATTTTATAAATTCATTCTTCTAACATAAAATGCTGCATTCTTTCTCGATTGGGTTAATAGTTGAAGTGAGATGGTTTCAGGGGGCAGCAGCCACATGCTATGTCTCATTGCATCCACAGGTTAAGGGAAAGAGTGGACTCTATTTTGCAGACTGTAATGTTGCTGAAACTAGCTCACAAGCTAATGACAATGAGTTGGCGACGAAACTGTGGGATTTCACCTTCAGTCTCGTCAACAGCTGTCCTCACACGTCATAGACATCAACAAAATATATGTATTTTATGATAAGGGCAGAACTTCAAACTCAAGACTTGCACAGTTGGTTGGATTTTTTTTTGATAGATTATTAAAAGGAGGAAATATTCATAATTATAATAAAGATTCATAATCGTAAACTAAAAAAATAATTAGAACATTATTTTATAACTATTGACATAAGAAACTAGTCACTTAAGATTACACAAAGATTATACTAGTAAGATTTAACTTGATTTGGATAAATAGATTCTTTCACTGGATTTGACTCTACTTGTAATTTTATGAATTCGATTATTTCTTTTTTAAATTTTGAGTTGAGTTATAAAATAAAATTTGAATAATTCAAAATTTTTAATAATTAATAATTTGATTTTTAAGTTTGAGATGAGTTTCTTTCTGCATGATATATATATATATATATATATGAGCAAAATATGAAGAGAGATATATGTGTACCATATATAGTTATATAAAACTGTTTAAAATGAAATCAAATATTAGCATAACAATATGAATATTTATAATTATATTTAAATAAAAAAATTGAATAACTCAATTTAAATAACATTTTAATAATAAAATAAAATTCATCAATTCGATGAACTCGTAATTCTTTAACTTAATTCAAGAATACTATCCCAATAAGAGGGTGTGAGACTGTGGTGAATGTTTGGGTTAGAACTTTGGGCTATGAGACTCCCACCCATTTACAGTGCTGAGTGATGTGCAAAGGGTTCAACAAGCCCATTCCTTTTCCCGTTGCTCTGTATGCAGCGGCCCTTTGTCCTATTAACCCTTCCTTTTTGGCTCCTATACAAAACCCTAGTCTTCCTTCTATATAACGCATAAACCCTAGCCTCTAGTCCCTTACCTTTGTCATCTCATTTGCTTTGCCTCCTACTTATTTTCTCTTCACTATCTTTGCTGTCAAACTCTACCAGGGATGAGACCTCCAAGAGGTATCAAATGCCTTTTTCTTTTGTTAAAACTTAAAACAACTGGTCTGATAGTTTCGGAGCTAAGATTAGTCCCATGGTTTATTTTTTTTTTAAAAATGATTTTAGTGTATGTTAATGTTATCTTGTGGTTTGATTATGTGCAGGCCGTGGTGGTGGTAGTGGTGGGTTTAGGGGCAGAGGTGATGGAGGTAGAGGGAGAGGAAGAGGTGGCGGCGGTAGAGGCGGCAGTGGCATGAAGTCCCGTGGAGGTGGCCGTGGTGGAGGAAGAGGACGTGGTGGAAGAGGAGGGATGAAAGGCGGGAGCAGGGTTGTGGTTGAACCCCATAGACACGAGGGAGTTTTTGTTGCCAAGGGTAAGGAAGATGCTCTTGTTACTAAGAATATGGTCCCTGGCGAAGCTGTCTACAATGAAAAGAGGATTGCTGTTCAGGTCTTTTTTTTATCTTTCTAATCATCCACTCTGTTAGTTAAGTGCTTTAATCATAGTACTAAATTGCAGTTGCAGCTGTTGTGTCGTGGATGATATGTCATGATTTATTTCCTAAAAGTAACTAAGTTTTTAAATTGTGTATGTGGTTGTTTTGTCATGGTGACCTTGAATTGCGATTTGGATATGCTTTGTGTTTGGCTACTAGGGGGTTTTGTTCCTACACATGTTGTATTATGTTAAATTTTGCAATGAAGAATTGATGGGCTTTCTTGAATTTCTCTAAACAGAATGAAGATGGGACGAAAGTTGAGTACAGGGTTTGGAATCCTTTCCGATCCAAATTGGCAGCTTCAATTCTTGGTGGTGTTGATAACATATGGATTGTAAGCTTTGCATTTTTCTATTCGTGTTTGTTCGAATAATGTACATGATACGCATATCTGACTGGGTTTATTTTGTTTGTTCTTTTGATGAAGAAACCCGGTGTTAAGGTTCTCTACCTTGGAGCTGCTTCTGGTACAACTGTTTCTCATGTATCTGATGTCGTTGGTCCTGTAAGTGTAGTATTGAACCTGAGGTTCTAGATGTCTTTTTTTGTTTGTATATGGGTCAGTTCCTTATTGTTTGTTCAATTATATTTTCCAGAATGGAGTGGTTTATGCTGTCGAATTTTCTCATAGAAGCGGTAGAGACTTGGTCAACATGGCAAAGAAGCGAACGAATGTTATACCTATTATCGAAGATGCCAGGCATCCAGCTAAATACAGGATGTTAGTTGGCATGGTCGATGTGATATTTTCTGATGTTGCCCAGCCTGATCAGGTTTGCATTTTGAGAATTTGTGATTTAGAAAATTGTGAGAAACAATAATGAGGATCAGGTTTACGTGCTATAGATTATCCAACATCTTTTTATCTATGTGATCCCTTTTTATGTTATCACAACCTGTTTATGCAAGTGATGAACTCTACTCGGATTCCCCTTCAAGACTTCATGGGTGATGTGAACTCGAGTTTCTGATGCAATATTAACTCATCAAACTCAATTTGCAGATTTGTTTTACAAAAATGGTTTTCTTGTCCTTTTTTTTCTTTTAATAAATGTGTTTTTTGGGTTTCTTCTAGTATACTCATTATCGATGGAGTTGAACTTATAGATACTTTGCTTTTATACCAATATGCATTCGAAATTCGTGAATAACTGTCCGTCTCTCTACCACCGTGTGATTTCTCAGGATTGTTTTAGCTCTACCACTATGAAATGTAATCATCTTTTCCTTAGTCCAATGATGGTCGTCCAGTCTACTCAATGTGTCTCTCCTGTATCATTTAACGGTGAAACTGCTGTATGCATCTTCCTCGCTTCTGTTTAGTTTCTTAGTTTCTGTTACTTTGCTTACAGGCAAGGATTCTGGCTTTGAATGCATCATATTTCCTGAAAGCTGGCGGTCATTTTGTTATTTCAATCAAGGTTAGTAAAGTTTTGGGAACTTTACACTTTAAATGTGTGAAATTTGTTAGATGTTTGGGGGAGTGACATTGTAAGACTTTGAACGATCAAGTACGCTGAGTAGATTTTAAGATTAAATTTTGAATATTTGTTCAGGCCAACTGCATTGACTCAACGGTTCCAGCTGAGGCAGTATTCCAGAGTGAAGTCAAGAAATTGCAACAGGAGCAGTTCAAGCCTTTCGAACAAGTCACTCTTGAACCTTTCGAGCGAGACCATGCTTGTGTTGTTGGCGGCTATCGCATGCCTAAAAAACAGAAATCTGCTGCTGCTGCTTAATTTTTTCTAGGCTGGCTTTTGAAGCCTTATTTTCCATTTTAGAGAAGGGGTTTTGAGATAACGTCTCTAATTTATTATGGCTTTTCTTTTCTGGTGTTTTGTTTTGTTCATTTTAGGTTTTCATTGAAACTCAAATGTATGATTTTGAACGCTTAGATCACATTTCTCTTTCAGTACTAATCTCTTTTATTCCCTCAAAAATGCAATTTTAATAGTAAAAAGAAAAGCACAAATCAAATGAGCATGAATTGGGTTTTCGACCGTTGATCTGAAAATTTTATACCCTTCACCTGACTTGAGTTTAGGGTGACTCTACTCTATTTGAAATCTGGCTTGACTTTTGAGATAAAATCTAATTTTGGTTTGACCTAATCTGAATTAATATAAAATTACTAATTTTATGTAATAAAATAAGGACTTAATTGAAAAAATATTATTGTAACTATCTCTAATTATATAAGTTATTTTTTGAGCCGGGTTAGGTATTTTTCATCATAAATTTGAGTTCGACTTGTTTTGAATTTATTCTCCAAAAAACTCAACCTGATATGAAAATAATTTTCTTTTTAATCCGGTTGGATCTAAACCTGTCGGGTTCGAGTTCGGTGTGCATTCCTTAAAGGGATGGTTATTATCTCTAAAAGTTTTAGATTTAGTTTATTGTCGAAAGGTTAAGAGTGTTTTGAATAAATAAAAGTATTAGGTCCAAATTGATTTGTTGTAGTTAAGAGCTCGACCCGAGTACCCTCATGATCTGAACTTGCTTGGGGGATAGCTGTAAAAGTTAAAATCCCCTGCAACGACACTGGATCCCAATAGCATAAAGTTGCTCAAAACTTCTCCACAAGAGCCAATTCTTCCATCTTTGTAACCCACTGCTTATGAAAATGATGTAGGAGATTGTTTCAATCTCGAAATTTCGGTTCTTCTTCTTTTAAGCTAATGATTCATTGACCAAGAATCTCTATGGAATAATTCAAACAAAACGAATGCATTTCTTCCAGTTCATAACACATTTGGAAGTTTTTCATAAGATGCAGCAGTTATAAGCTGGGAGCTTTAGCGTGCATCACTAAACTTTCATGGTCTTGAAAGCTCCAACATAAGAAGCAAGAGCATGAATTTTCTTTGCATTGGCCTACACAACAAACCTTTTCATCACCGAGATTGATCGAATGCAATGGTATTGACCGTCACTAAATTCTTCATTAGTTGCAAATCTGGTAACCATCAAATTTGATGGTTGTGCAGTTAAAACTGTCACTAAACTCCATATTCCACTTTTATTTTTTTTTTAGTAGTTTAGGGTGATTATAAAATAGTATTCGTTCAGAATATTTTTTAACGATTAACAACGCATACATATCCGTAGACACAACTGCTTGAACCCAAAACTTCTAAGGAGAACATCATTTCCTTTAACCCACCGAGAACCACTTAATAAGTTGAACTGCATGCATAGGTAACATGTTCACGGATCAGTTATAATCTTGGACTGTATTTTCTTGCTGCATAGCTTGACTTCAATAGTTCAAAATTAAGCAAGAAAAGCTAATGTGTTCATTTATCATTCCTCTACAATTTCATGTATCATATATGCTAATGCTGGTAGTATTCATATTTATAAATTTGGGGAATTGTTCACTAGTAAACTCGTGGATCAGTTATTCAGAGAGTTAGCTCATGTATATCTAGGACTAGAAAGTATAAAGGTTTGCTAAGCACTGGGGACCAACAATGTACAACAGACTTGGGAAATTCACTATTCACACTTTGTTCAAGTAAATGCCTGTATTATTTTTTGCCTAAATCCTTGTATGATTGCATATGATGCACTTTGACACATAATGATAGAAATTGTGTTCCAAATTTTAAAATTAGGTCAAAATCAAATTAAAAATTATTTCGTAATCAATTTGAGACATCAACTATCAATGATCTAGTTCGATCATCCAGTCCAAATAAGAGGTGTTTCTGTTACTATCAACATAATTGTCAAAGTGAAAACATGTAAATAAACTCCTAGACCAAAAATTTTCTAATCCCAAGTTTAAAATGTAACACCCCGAAATATGGACTTCCTCGCCCATATAGGGTTGTGGGAAAAATGATTTTCTCACAAAAGGAATTGATCATATTATTTCCTGAATTAGGGTCATTGCTACAATATTAATAGAAAGATGCCAAGATTACTATGTGACTTCATTTTTTTTTCTGTGGAAGACGCGTAGATTACTATGCAACTTTATTTTTGTAAAGTTAAAAAAATGGTGAAGACGAGCTACATTCCTGGGGTCTTCTGAAGTCGCGTGGAACACCAGACGTCTTCACCTAGTTACTATAGCATTCACCCTATATTGGGAAATAATTCTTGTGTTGGATTATTTTGGGAATTCTTTTTCTTAAAATGACTATCTTAGCCATTTTGCTCTGAAATATGGGTTAATACTTTGAGCGAAAAATTATAGAATTTTCAGTTAGAATAATCCGATCTTTAATTTTGAATTTGAGACTAAAGCTGATTAAATATCTCTTAAAATTTTCTGAATTGAAATTTGAATCACTTCTGTGATCAATATGACATTTTAGATTCGATCATAGCATTTAGATCGGGTAAAGGAGTTACATAAAACATCTTAAGGTGCATTACTCAATAGTTAATTAGTCTAATTTTGGGCACCAACCTCACAGCATGTGGTCATTTCCGGTAACTAAAAACTAAGACCTATCATCTTATTGCAATTAAACGTTGGCATCAAGCCCTCACCTAAATGTTTCAATTAATAAGAAAATCTTATAGGGAAGAAGTTATAAATGATAATAAGAAAATCTATATTAGATCGTCGTGGTACACATCAGAAGCATCCTCGTCATGTATTCGTACGTCCGGCTTGCCGCCGGTGCAGTTCAGTAGCGAAGCCTCTCTTCGGACGAAATGGTCCTGCATTTATAACATACGACGGAAACCGAAACGATTAGCAGCCAGTAGGACATGACAGCAATAGGTAATGAATGTGACATCTCAACTTTTGGAAGATGAAGTTGGTTCATACATCACTGAGCAACATGTTTCGTGGCTCGAGCATATGAATCACTTCTCCCATCGTCGGCCTATGGTCGATATCCGGATCGACACAACGAAGCGCGATCAATGTAATCCGTTTGAGTTCTTTCACAGAAGGAATCTCTGGTATGCTAGGATCAACAACATCTGCAATTTTCTTGTTTGCTACCATGGACTTTAACCAGTCGATCAAATAAATCTGCAAACACGAAATAAATTCCGGTTTCGGAATTAGAGACAACGAGTTTCGTGCAGTATAATGCTCAAACATTTTGAGATTAAGAATTGGTACTTGGTGTTGACAATGATCAACAGGGATCCTTCCTGATACAATCTCCATTACAAGTATTCCAAAGCTATACACATCACTCTCCTTATCCCATTTGCTGATAGAAGCATTATCTTGATCAGCATAACTAGAGATCCATGCAAATCAACAAAGCATCATGTTCCTCAAATTCGATTCACAATGTATATATGGTCAAATTAAATCGAAATAAACAGACCCTAGCTCGACCAATGAACGAGTGGTCGCATTGGTGTGGTTCGGACCGAGCAGCCGAGAAAGTGCTACATCGGAGATCCTAGGATTCCATAGATGATCAAGTAATATATTGCTTGCCTTTAGGTTTTGATGGCAAATATGTGGTTCAATATCCTCATGCAGGTAAGCCAATCTGCAAATCATGATCCTCATCAAGTACATCAACATAACTTGAAATAATCATTAGATATTAAGATTGTAGAACTCACCCTTTTGCTATCCTATGTATGATGTTCATACGAATGGTCCATGTAAGAGGACTGGCTTGTCCAAGAGGACCATGAAGCCATTGATGGAGATTACTGTTATTAACATACTCATACACAAGCATCCTAACGAAGAAGAAAACTAGATCAGGAATTTAAGGCATGACCATTTCCGGACATGGAATCACATGAAAGTAAGTAACATACCTGTGACCTTCCATGCAGTATCCTAGCAGCTTGACAAGATTCTTGTGTCGGACATGTCCGATCGCCTCAGCCTCTGTTACGAACACCTCGGGTTGGCAACTGGTTGTTAAATGATCGAACTGTAAATAATCAGTTTGGCAACCGCTATATAATAGTCCCGCTATTTAAATCCTTGATCAAGAAAGAGTTACCTGTTACTGAGTAGCCTCTTCACTGCCACAGTGGTACCGTCAAACAAAACGCCACGGTGAACAACACCATAATTTCCATTTCCGATAAGATTATCATACGAGAAACCGTCAGTGAAAACGTCAACTTCTCTCGAACTGAATCGGTAACTCGTCCGAGTTTCGGGAACTCCATGGGGGAGCTTGTGAAAGTGCTCCAAATGATCGGGCAGATAACTCCGGGGAGTTGTTGTAGCAGCACGCGTAGACCACTGGTCTGGAAACATCACTTCAAGCTCAGGCTCCGTCGTGTTCATCTCGATCTCCGAAATGTTAAGAGGAAGCAGCCTCCTATTGAGCGAAGAAGAGCAGTAAGCGCTTTGATAATTCTTGGGAGCAATGGGGTTTGGTAGGCAAAACGGGGTTTTGCAGGGCTTTCTACGTCGATAACAGATGAGATAACAAGAGATGATGGAGAAAAACAAAAGAATGAACAGTGTTGTGAATGTAACGATCAAGACCCATAATCGAAGACCGAGAAACGAGGTATGCTTGGAGAGTGTTTCCCCGAGATATGATCCCATGCTGCGTAGCGGAGGAAGAAGACGACGTGGAATTAATGGATTTCACGAACTGGAAGAAAGAGATGAAAACACAGGAGGTTGAGCTTAACTACAAGTCTATCGATATATTTTGAAAATCTTGGCGTGCCAACTAACTAGCGGGAGCACCGGAATGTATTGAGGTTTTATTAAATCTAGAGTTAATGGGTCCTTAAACTATAATTTTCATTTTAAATTAACCTTTAAACTTTTAAATATTTCAATTTCATCCAAAAACTATAAATCTCATTTTAAATTAGTCCTTCAATTTTTTAATATTCTAATTTCATCCCTACACTATGATTCTCTTTCTATTTTGATCCCCAAACTTTTGTGTCATCTAATTTCATCCCCAAATTCATCCAAATGTGTAATTACTTTCAACAATAGTTTCACCTATATTTTTTTTTCTTTCAAACATATAATAATATAACATGACCTAACATTTTTATTAACAAGGAATGTGACTAGTATATACATATAATTTGGGATAAAATTGGAATGTTCAAAAAGTTTGGGGACTAATTTAGAATGAAGGTCAGAGTTTGGGAATAAAATTGAAATGTTTAAAGTTTGATGATCAATTTAGAATGATAGTAATAATTTAGAGATAAAATTAAAATATTTAAAAATTTAAGGTCCAATTTAAAATAAGTCATACTTTAAGGATATCTAATTCAATTAACTCTTGAATTTAGTGTCGAGTGAGAATTATTGTACAATATGTGAAAAATAGTACTATCGTTATACTTTTTATATAAGATCATTTGAAAATTATTAATTTTTTACCGATAAAGATTTATAAAATACTTCACTGTTTTAGTAAAATTTTCAATAAACTTTTCGAGACATTACACTATTTTTGAAATAATCTTTTATTAGTATCGTCTTATAAAATTCATATTTCTCAATCTTTAATATAATCTTTCAGATAACTAAAATTCATATTTCTCGATCTTTAATATAATCTTTTAGATAACTAAAATTCATATTTCTCAATCATAATGACTCTATGTCTGATATCATCATAACTCAATCATGACTAAAAAAGGGATACTCTTCTCCTTCGCTTCATCTTCTCTCTTGATATTTTCATCTCATATAAAGAAATATCGATCAATGATCGTTACTTCACCGATCATAATTCTCCGCTTAAATTAAAAGAAGTGAACCGCCAACGATAGATGAGACTAAATTATTTCCATCAAAATAAATAAACTGCAACAATGATATTTGCAAAATGGAGTGGTCATAGTTTGTGAACTGAGCCATCACCCTCTAAGCAAACACGTTCAGAAAGGCAATAGAAGTAATTAGTTTATCTTTCTATGTTTTCCTACGTATGATCCCTTGCTGGCTACCGTGTTTTCTTGTTTCTTAGTATATAAAATCAACGAGTTAATCAGATCAAAATGGATGGAAGATGAGGAACCTGTAATTTTCAAGATTTCAGAAATCTTTGATGAAAGCAAGGCAACTCACCAAACCATAAGCACTACAACACCCCGAGCAATGGAATGTCATTAATTAATTTTAAGTTAGTTACTGCAAATAGACCCATTTAATGAGGTTTAAAGGCCTAAATTTCTGCACACTTTTCAGTTCCCTTTTATTTTCTTCTTCAAGTTTTTCCTTAAGTTCTGTCCTCTCACCAGAAGCAAACTTCAACAGCCTTTACGTCGTCGTCTTGTTAACAGTGGGCCACACTATCGGCGTCCTTTGCTCCAACATGTGGTCCCGGGTCGACTGGTACCCTTGGTTTTAACATCTTCATTTCTAATGTGAAGCTTGGACGAGAAAGAATTTTGATCGTTCATAAAAACTTACATCTGTCACTCTCCGTAGAAGAACCACATTGATAAGAGACTCCTAAGCTTCTAAGTTTCATTTCTGGAAATTTCCGCTATTTACCGATTATCAGTGATCGTCGCACACGCCAATAGCATCGTCATTGTGCGTAGGCTTCGTCCTTCGCTTGAAAAACAGTTGGAGTCCGACCCACACATGACCCATAAATGTTTCAGCCCAAACTTATGATTAGGCTCGATAGTAAACTAAACCTAACATGTGACAGTGTGAAAAAGTGACACTGACACATGCTATGTCAACAATACGGACAGATAGATCTGCCAACTACTAAATGATTGTTGAGCGAAACCCCTATTGTGTTGGATAAGAAATTTCAGAACATACACAAAATGGAAAACAACTTGTGAGGAAGAGAAAACAATTATTTGTCACCTTATGCATGCTTTCCAAGGAACCGTATCAATAGCGCCATATAACCTTCATCTTCAATGTTAAAATAGTGTAACGAGAACTTGATCTTTGTTATTTTTAATGATATTTTTGGGGTTTATGTTCAATTCGTGACTGACATTCTTAATAATATTGCTTTTGGATGAATTTTTTTCTTGAAAATTTAATGTATATAACAACCACATCCAACACTTGTTGATTGGTCATTGTTTCCACTTACTTCAATATTCAGCATACCAATGGCATTTTGCAGCATATATTGCCATCGACTAATTTTGTTTGGTTTTCGACCTAAATTTTATGTGTCTAAATCGATGTTATCAAAATAGTAATGTTAGAGATTTTGACTTGAATTTCATTTGATTTGGTATGAAAAATTCATAGTTTGACTCTGCTTGATGAAGAAATAAATTGAAATAAAAAATAAAGATGAGTGATTGACTATGGTCTCAAGCTCATGGATGGATCGAGGGGAACATGTGTGGGCGGTCACTCCTGAAAATTTTAAAGTACCATCTATTTTAGATATTTTCGATATTTTCTTGTATTTTGTATTGATAACATGTTTTAGGTTCCTAGAATTTTATAAGTTCATCCTCCTTAAAATTTTAAAAGTTCGTCATATAGCATAAAATCTTACATTCGTTCATATTTGGGCTGATGATATGATATAGTCTTATTCAACTAGGTTAGGGTTATTGTGTACGTATAACTCTCTCTCCATATATATATATATAGGATTCACTTACACAGTGTTTTACACATTTTTAATATTGTTAGATGGTCGAAAAGAGATGATTGAGATATCACTTTATTTTTTCAATGAATATTTTCTCATTTCCCACTATTAATCGCAACCGTCTATTTTTACTCATCTAACGATCTTAAAAAGACGCAAAACTAAAAAAATTTACAATGTGTGAACAGATCATGTCTCATATATATATATATATAAGATAAAATCAACTCACACAATTTAAAAAAATTTCAATTGTACACAGATTTAGGATCGTTAGATGAGTGAAAATATATGTTGAGATTAATAGTAGGAAATGAAAATATATTCACTAGAAAAAAATTATTTTCATTCATCCAACAGTCTCCAAAATCTATGTAAAAGAATTCTAACCATATATATATATATATAATTCTAGTATTTGAAGTATTATTGTATAATTTTCTTATACTTAACCGTTGGACATAATAAAAATTTTCTTCGCTGCCCATGATCCGTTTAAGATTTTTCACGTAAACATCCTTATTTTTCTTTGTTATTGTGTTACGATCGCTCACTCACTGTTATTTATAATAAGATATATATTAAAAAGAATATAATTTTTTAATATTTCCATGGTATTTATTAACACCACAAACGGAAACAAACGTACACTAGTTAATATTAAGATTCCATGCTTGTCCCACTTCTTCCCTTCCTGACCAAACTCCCACCGGAAACAACCAGTTTTGCTTGAAATAGGCATAATCACCCAACAATATGAAACAAAACAATCAAGTGGTCCTTCAAACACACACGTGATCACATCTCTGATACGAACATGCTTTATCTTTCCAAGGTATCATAAATAAATTCATAATTATTTTAATAATCTAATATAATTATAAGGTTATATCTAATCAAAAATTTTCTTAGTTTATTGACAATGCACACATACGCTATAAACATAATTGCTCGAATCCGATTCTAGAGAAAATGTCATTCTCTTTTACTACCAATGTCACTCACCGGTCCTAAATTTAAATTCTTTAACAATATAAAGGGCGGTCACACGGCAAGAAATAAGAATTGGGTAAACTGTATATGTATTTAATCACCCATCTATTCTCGTAGTTATGTTTTGGTCACTAAACTATTTTTTTTCAAAATCATATTTAACGTTACATTTTAGTTCCGATTTGATTACCCGCCGTTAAAAATAAATAGAACTATTGATGTGGTAATAATTTTTATTTTTTTCAACGATGACGTAACATTACTTTATAGTGACATGTTAACATTATCATTAATTTTTTAATGACGAGTGGTCAAAATATAATCAAAATATAATATTACATATGATTTAAAAAAAAGTTAATTAACAAAAATAGAACCTCGGAAATAAGTGGATGATGAAATACGTAGTTTACCATAAGAATTTTACATTATCAATACTTAATATCAAATTTTTCTTTCTTCGCTGCTTCAGGTGATGTCCTTGCAGAATCCATCTCGCATGAATACTTGCTTGTAATTCGTGGATAAAAGAGAATAATCTGATGAAATAACAAACTTTAATTAGAACTTAATGCTCCACAACTATTGGGATAAATTCAATATTTAGTCATCCACCTATTCCTACAGTTCCGTTTTCGTCACATAATTATTTCTTTTTCAAAATCATATATAACGTTATATTTTGGTTCCGTTTTAGTCACCCACTATTAAAAAATAAACAGAAATGCTGACGTTAACTTTTTTCCGATGATGACATGACAGTACCTTATGATGACACATCAACATCACCATTATTTTTTTAATGACGGACAACCAAAACATTACATTAGGTTGTGATTTTGAAAAAAAAATAATAGTTGGGTGACCAAAACGGAACCACTAGAATATGTGGATGACTAATTACGTGGTTTGTCCATACTATTATAAAGATTAGTCTCTTTTACCTGTAGAAGATGCATTGCTTAACTTCTTTTGTGAAGAATCAGTTGTACATCTCAACAACCAACAAGATTCTGCTGCCAAA